TGGTGGATCAGCACCTAGAGATGACTTCGACTGCCCTGAAATGTCAGCGGAGACCAGGACAACTAGATGTGCCCCAGAGACTGATCCCCTCCGAAGACCTCGTCTCCTAGACAGCCATTGGGACAAGACCACCGGAACCAGATGAGTCCTCTGCACAATCTGACTCTGCTGCAGCCTAGATTTAAACTGGGTTTGTCTGGCCAGAGGAGAAAGACACACTGTTTTGACACACTATTTCCCCATTTAATACTGTTAAGCTGCTTTGACACAATTAGCATTGTAAAAAGTGCTATATAAATAATGGTGAATATACTTTATTCTAAACCCTTTAGAGATCATTTGCTACATATATAATTTTGATTTATGATATAAATTAAATCATTGATTGTCATTATTGATTGTATCAACCACCTTTTATTGTGTTGTGATTCCATGGAGATCCTTAAGAGACTTGATATGAAAAAAAAATGTGTTCTTATGTTCGTTTCAAGCCTATGTGTACAGATTGAGTTATTGCAAATTGGCCAGGAGTTAATTAAAAAAGCAATAATTAAAATGTATCTTGTATTATCTATTGTTTTACTGGCCTGGCAGTGCAGACTGAGACACTGACGCTGTAGGTTACACAATCATGACGTATTTGTAGAAAAAAATAAAAAAATAAATAAAAATAATATTTCCCTGTCTAGCTTGTATTTATTTGAACAATTCCTGAAACTTGGTATTACGAGCACTTCTTGTGTCTATTTTTGCCTCTTTAAGATGAACCACTTGATGTATTCCCCAATTGTAAGTCACTGGATAAAAGCATCTGCTAAATGACTAAATGTAAATGTCAGGCAGGTACTTTTAGCACTGTGAGAGACCAGCAAATGCGAGACACCACCATTTGAGTCATTAAAAGCTAGTATAGGCTGACATGGTCACTGTTTAATTGAAAATAATAAAGTTTGAAGTCACCGTTATGGAGGCAAGCGCTTGCTTTAGTTGAGTTCCTGACCCTTGTCTTTTTAACTAAAGTTTTTTTCTGGCTGATTCAGTGATTACATAGTGGCCTTGTTCAATGATCGCCCGGAGTTTAATATCTCAGGACGCTATTTAGGTTTAATGCTTTCTCATTTTAATAGTGCAAATGCATGAAATTGTCTCTTGCTTTAATATCTTGTAAATCATCAAGTCATTATGCAGAATAGTGATGGGAAGTCCGGTTCTTTCGGACAGTTCGTTTCAATGAACCGGTTAAAAAAAACCGGTTCATCGGTTCTTTTACGCCCTAATGTAATGACGTCATTCGCGATGACGTAATGATATCAAGTCTATCGTCCCAGGCCTGGATGAAAATACACATTCAAATATATAAAGTCAGTAATCATAACTTCAGTCAGTTAAAACATCATAATCATGATCTGAAAAGTTTACAATTAAGTTTTGCAGCTAAGCACCCACATACAGTAACAGGCAGTGATGTGCATACGAGGATTTAAGTCTTGAAGATATAAAGTAAATAAATTAGTTGTCATCAGCGCAGAAACCATAATCCACTTACTATACATAATCCATTGCGATTTGTTATTAAATAAACGTACGTTTCGCCAGATTGCGCTTCATTCAAGTCTTCGGTTTACCCGCGCTCATAGCATTAGCACAGAATCAGTTGTCCAAAAGAACGTGTTATGCACCAGGTGGTAAAGACTCACCATTTAAAAGCATAGAGGTGTTTTATAGATGGTGTTCTAGCCTGTGATTTAGTGTTTATAAATGTGCAAAGCACACAACTTCGGTTTGGGGTGATAAATCATCCTGTTTGCTTCAGAGAGAAGGTTCTGTCTCAGGGGAAAAGCTATTGTAGGGCCAGTGCATGTTTTGGCGATACTACTGCTCTCATGTGTGTTGAGTTGAAAACTGCTCCCAGGAACGAGTTTCGTTGGTTGGGAGACAGTGAGCTCTTGGCAAAATTGACCCTGAGTCCTAGGCGCTCCAAGTGGCTGAGGTGGAGGGATCTGTGCGATACTAGCTCGGCCTCTGACTGTACTAAGATGAGCCAGTTGTCGAGGTAATTCAGAATGCAGATTCCAATCTGTCTCAGAGGGGAAAAAGCTGCATCTTTGCACTTCGCAAAAGTGTGAGGAGCCAGGGACAGTCCGAAGGGCAGGACCATGTATTGATATGCCACTCCCTCGAGACGAATCTCAAGAATCTCTGTGATGGGGGGCTATCTGGATGTGAAAGTCTGCATCCTTAGATCCAGAGAAAAGAACCAGTCACCTGGGCATATTTGCGAGAGGATCTGTTTCAACGTAGTCATCCTGAACGGCTGTTTCATGAGGGCGCGGTTCCTTTTTGGGGACGAGGAAGTAACGGCTGTAGAAGCCTGACTCGCTCTGAGCTGGCTGAACCATCTCTACAGCTCCTTTTGCCAGTAAATTCATCACAGGACATGAGCGTCCTTGCTCTGCACTAAGGTGGGAACCATGCTGCTGAATCGCGGGGGTCTTCGAGCGAACTGAAGTGAGTAACCTCGTTTTATAATCCCCAAAACCCAATCTGACACTCCGGGGATGGCCTGCCAGGCCTTGCCCTGTGTGGCGAGGGGTTGGATTGGTTCGGGTGGTAGATCGCCGTGAGGGGACCTGACACTCGTGATAAGTGGAAGAGGAAATTTGCTCTCTTTTTGAAAATGTTTGTGTTTTATTTTTCTCGCTACAACTGTTTGTGTGGGCGCTTTTAGAACGGGCCCAGTATTTACAACAGTTTTTATAACAAACACACTGCCACCGGCAGTGAGCGACCTTCGCTTTCCATCCGATGGCAGTGGGCGGGCAGAGATGCATGGCCACTGACTCATCCAGAGGAGGCAGCTTTTCATAGCCCTTTTCTTCAGCGCCGTCGACTGAGGAGAGTGCAGATGAAGCGGACGTGCGAAGGCGAGCTGAGTAGGGAGTGTGCCACGATTCGTGAGCTCGTCATGGACCTCCGGAAAAAAAGGCGAGGCTCGCTGACGAGGGGCCTGATGGCACCCCGGCAGGAACCATTTGTCCAGATGGCTACAAGTGGGCTCCTCCGGCGTGGACCACTCCAAATCCCAGCTCCTCCACCACTCTAGAGAGGACGTGGAAAAGCTCGGCGTCCATCCCTGTTTTGGCATCGCTGGGATCCATAGATGGCAGAGGGGCGGGGTCGATAGAAGAGCCCGATATATCCTCCGAGTCTGACGCTGCTAGAGGCATGCTGTCATCTAGCAGCTCATCCTCAATTGCACCAAATGAAGCCATGTCGCTTGCATAAGCCTCGAAGAGGACCTGAGAGTCATCTCTGCATGGCGAGAGCGAGACACGCTGGGTCTGAGCCGGCGTGAGCTCGCTCCCAGGCGAGCGCTAAGTCCCTCTGCCCCGCTGTTTTTTCCTCGTAGGTCCCTGGGAGGAAGAAAACGGGAGGGCGTGAGAGGCGGAGAAAGAAAGCGATCCAAGCGCGCAGAGAGGCGAGACTCATGTTCACACAGTGTGAACATTCCATCTCAGTCAGAGTGGCTTCTGCATGGGGCTTGCCAAGACAGGAAACGCACTCTGAGTGGCCATCGTCAGTGAGCTGCAACGACTGCGCGGCATTTGCAACAACACCACTGCTCTTTTTGTAAGGAATTTGCTATTCTTAGCTCGCCGGATGGTGGCAGGGGACGAGCTGGAATCTGCGCCGGATGCTGAAGGCGGCTCGAAGAGTGGGCGGCAACAGCAGGAAGGCACAGGCGAGGTGCTGAATTGGGCTCTTTCATATCTTTTTCTGTTTGTATGTTTAAACTGTGATTTGTATTTGTTCGTTCAGGTGCAGGAGGACGCCAAGGAGAGCTTGGTTCGGTGTTGCTGTCCGTGAGATGCGACTCTCTGCGTCTTGTGTTTGAATGCTTTAAACTCTTTTGAATGTTTAAATTGGCAAGGCTTAAAAACACGTGCAAATGATAAGCTTTCATGACGTCTTTTTAGGCTGGCCTCAGCCAGTCAGTTGAGATCGCTGGAGGGCCCCCCCTCAGCCGTGGGCCCCTATAATCGTCACCACCTTTCATCTCACTAGCGACGGCCCTGTAGGCTGATACTGATCAATAGCCCATCAATCAGAGCATTCCTAAAATCCTTCACTAAACTCTTCTTCAAAGTTTTGATAAAGACATAAAAAGTTATTTTCACAAAGCAAACTTACATTTGTCAAATCTTTTTAAAAGGGTGATACACTAAAATGAATTTAAACATACATATAGCTATATATCAAAAACCTGCTGTATTTTTACATAAGGGTCCTCTATGTTCATGTAACTATTTCCCCACTATTGACAGAGTATTCTGTCATTTATGACAATGCGTCCACTGCCATTTTTGGCAATCCATGTTTGTACTGGTATATGGTGCAGGCGCTATCGTCTTCTGAAAGCTCAAAATGCTCAAAACACAAGCGAAAAGAGGCAGAAACAAGTGATAGAATCATTTCATATGCACATGTTGAAGTCTTTGATAAAAACACAATGAAATGCATTGCCTTTTGCTCAAAATGTTGATTTCTAAATGAAAGGTAACTGCAAAAAGAATGCACGAAGTAGAATCATTGCATGAAGTAGAATCAGTTTGTTGTTGTTTAAAAGCAAAGGCTCTCCTTCTTTTGATATATTGTATGTTCAGATATTTATACAACAAAAGATTTTGGGGGGCATGAAAGATTTGTAAAATGATCAAACATGCTGCTGCTATCTGGCAACTTTTTGGTGGGGAACGAGGATAACATATCCTATATATGATGCTGAAAAGCCTCTTTACTTCATTCATTATGCTGACTTCTTCAAATCACCTGTAAACTGCCACTTAAAGCTCATTTCATTGGTGTCAACTGTGTAAATAACCCGTTAATTTGTTAAATAGAATGTGTAAAGTCTGTATTACGTATTTCATTTTTGCATTGAATGGGTTCGGAAGACTTTTATTTTGACAGGGTTGTAATGTTTCCTTTTTCATCTGCCAGTGTGTGAGCACGCGCTCTATCTTGTCCATGTTTTTTACAGTCTATGGTCCTTCTCACTGAAATGGTTATAAGGTAAGTGATTTTAACGTTTGTAAACTGCTTTTTTGTCATATTGGTTATTGCCTTTGTTTCTTTGTGTGTGTTTTTCTGCAGCTCTTGCAGTGTTTTAACTTGAGTGTAAACAAACATTTTTGAAAACATAATTTAAGGAGTATGAGTTGTATGATGTTTCATGTGATAACAACAACGAAAAATTAAAACCTGCTCACAAAAACCCAGCTAAATGACAAGTTAAATGAAGTTTGCCTCAACTGTTATTTCAACTCAACTGTCAGTAGCGTAGAAATGTTTACATTTATTTCTGAATTTCTTTACTCTTTTTTAGATTTGTATTTATTAATCTTTTTGTTTCTTTCTAAAAATAAAAGAATGAAGAATGTTTAAAAAAAAAAAAGCAGTAACTTTGCATTTTGATAGATGGACACATAATTGTGATATAAATAAAACAAATGCTTAAACATCAATTTTATTTCTGATTTATTTTTGATTTTGGCAGATCTGCTGGTCCTACCTCACAGCATTTCACTTTAAGTGAAGCTTCTGTCACAGCTGTTTTCCAATAAGTGTTGGTATTTTCACATCAGTCTAAAAGTGCAGCAGATCGAGTTTATGAACGAACAAGACAAACATGATTTATCCAGAATCCTGCAGAATGGAACATGAAGATACTGAAGAAATAGGTTGGTGTTCATTCTTAATTCTCTAAATAAATAAAAAAATGTTCCACAATTTTTAAATGTTACAAACAAGGGTTTATGTAATATTTGAAAAGTATAATTAGAAGACTAATGTACCAAATTCATGGGAAGTTCAGTTGATATATAATTTTTTTAAATCATCAAAAAAAAAAAAAATCATAATTTTGTATAGCAACTGTTTTCTTTCTGCTATTACCACTATTTTGCTTTTACATTCTTTTCCATCACTTCTGTCTTTGATTTTTTATTTATTATTTTAATTGTAAAGGATTTACTAAAAATGAATCCTTTTTTTGTTGCTTTCATTTTAGACCTGGTGAAAGAGAATAAGGAGAGTAAAGAACTGAGTGAAACAGAGGAGAAACATCATGATGTAAAAGGTGGAGAAAGTAATTTTTTACTGAAAAGAGCCAAAGGATCTTTCACCTGCCCTCAGTGTGGAAGGAGTTTCTCATGCAATCAAAATCTTAAATGTCACATGATAGTTCACAATGGAGAGAAGCCACACACCTGTGATCAATGTGGGACGAGTTTTGCAAATAGAGGAAACCTTAAGAAACACATGAATAATCCACACTGGAGAAAAAACACACACATGCGATCAGTGCGGGAAGAGTTTTGCTCGAAGAGAAACCCTTAAAGAACACATGAAAATCCACACTGGAGAAAAACCACACACATGCAATCAGTGCGGGAAGAGTTTCGCTCAAAAAGGAACTTTTAAATTACATCTGCGTTGCCATTCTGGAGAAAGGCCATATAACTGTGATCAGTGCGGTAAAAACTTTTCTTATGCAGATTGCCTGAAAAGCCACCTGAAAGTTAATTCACAGGAGAAGCCTTATACGTGTTCTTTGTGTGAAAAGAGTTTTCCACGTCTGAGTGCTTTTAAATTGCACCAGAAAAGACACGGCGGTGTGAAAGATTATATGTGCTTTGATTGTGGAAAGACCTTTATTGCAGCTGATAAACTAAAACGGCACCAGATAATTCACAGTTCAGAAAAACCGTACAAGTGTTCACACTGTGACAAGAAATTCAATCAGTCAGAAAATCTGAAAACACATGAGAGAATCCAGACTGGAGACAAACCACACACGTGACCAGTGTGGGAAGAGTTTCACACAAAAAGGAGGCCTTAAGGAACACATGAAAATCCACACTGGAGTGAAGCCACACACATGTGATCAATGAGAAAAGAGTTTCAGAAAATCAACTGAATCACATGTGAATTCTCATACAGTAAAATCAGAAATCCTGTCAGTGCAGCACCAGCAATCTGAGCTAATTAGAGACTTCTTAATTTCTGTCTAGTTTCAAATAAAGAGACAGCAGAAGGAACCCCTCTTTCTTTTACTTTAGTTTTTTTTCTATCATGTTTCCCAAATTAAATGGTCCATTCAGTTGCTGGACGATTCAAACATTGATTCTGTTATAATTCATGCAAATTCAAACAGAAATACCCTTTGGACTTCCCTTTAACTGTGATCAGTGATGCATTATAAAAATTTGGACAGATTCCTTGATGGTCCACTTAGTAGTTTCTGTTTTCACTTTATTCATTATGCTGATGTCTTTAAATCACCTGTAAACTGCAACTTAAGGCTCATTTCACTGGTGTCAACAGACTGAGAGACAAACTTTGCCAACTGAACACCAGGGAACAAAAACTCAGCTAAATGTAAGTTAAACATAGTTTAGCTCAATTATTTAATTATTTGCTGCTTACAAATCTGTATGTTTATTTCTAAATTTCTATATTCCTATTTTTTATTTTTACATTTTTTTTATTTGGATTATTTTAATATGGTATTTTTGATATTCTCTGTATTTCTCTATATGCTTGTTTTTCAGTCATGAAAATAAAAGGCTATCATACATTCGTACTATTATTTACAGGAGACACCTACAAAAATGAAATTCAGTGTAACAGTACTTTATATACTATATGAAGTAGTTTAGTATATCGCAGTATCACACGAGTGCCGGTAATCACAGCGTGCCGATATACAGCCATATCTCATGTCTACGAGTGTGATATTGCATTTATACAACAGTTCGATGGCACAAGTGTGTAAATACATAAGAAACAACAACGGAGTGTCTTTAAAAGTCCTCTTCTGTGCAGAACTACTTCCTTCCGCCACGGATTGAAATCTAAAGTTGACCGTTGAACAGCTGAGCCCAAGCCTCTGTTACTAATTAAAAAACGTCACTTTAGAACTAGTATTGAAGGAACGTTGAGTTACTTCTTTGAAAGCTTATTGTATTACTGTATTAAAAGCTTTGTATCATGTGGAGTAGAGTATTATGAGAGACAGATGGACTGAGCAAGTGTGATTAATCTGATACAGCATTCATTTTTCAGATCAATCTCATATTCACAATAAAACATCAGTTTGAATGTCCGATAAGCTCGTACTCCCCTTTCATCTGTTAAGGGTGATTTCCGATGACAGCTCTGCTCAGTGCATTTGTTGGCTGTGTACAAGCCTTTGTTGAAAGTAAAAATAAACACAGGGCTGGGGTTATTTACTAGGGCTGCACGATAAATCACATGCGATATTTAATGCGCATCTTGTCAGTAAAGCGTAATCAGCGGTAAATCTCCGGATGCGCATTAAATACCGCATGCGATTTATCGAGCAGCCCTACCGTTTACAACAGCATTTATTTTTCCAATTTAAAATCTTTACTGCTGACTTGTAAAAACAGTCCCTTGTCACCATCTAATGGTGGAACAATGTAACTAAAATCACCATCATTTACACATTTCTCAATACTATTATTAAATACTACTATTATTTATATAAAATATTATTTGTTGAATAATAATATTTCATAAACAACAACAGCCATAAAAAAAAGTTGCTAGGCAATCCAGTCAAAAGAACAAGGTGGTACAAGGGGGGTTACTTAACATAACCTGTTTCTGAATATTAATTGATCTAAATTATGTAGACTAGTAGTGTAGATATGTAGATGAAGTAATTTCAGATGCAACAAAACGGGAAAAATACAAACACAAAACTTGTAAATAAAATAATTTGATATATATGCAATTTAATAACATATAGCCTAGTTTGATATATGAATAAGGTGTTCATCAACTGATTGCATGCTGTCTTAGTTTCCAGTGTCGACAGCTCCGTAAAATAACCTACTGAAGCTCTGTAGTTTTGCTGTATACAGCTAAAAATATGAAAAGTACAAACACACAACTAACATTTTAAGTTACTTTAATTTCTGAAAAAAAGAATGTAGTAGGCCTAATTGATGTCATAAACACACAAGCCTGATTTTTTAAAATTGGTAGAATCCATGGTCCATTAAAAAAGAAAAATCACAAACATTTGCAATCAAGGCAACACCAGGATGAAGCCAGAAGTGCCGAATGTAAGACAGATTTGGCCCAGACTCTTTTGCTATCTGGGAAGCCAAACATAAGAATAGTAATGTAGCCTAAATTTGTTAACCCAGTAACAATTTTTAACCGATTAATCTCCTATTTTCGTTTACTGCATGTTTTTAAAAACATGATAAAAAGAAATTTTACGTTTTTGAGAGGAAATTAAAAAAATAGATGTCACGTATGAGTCACATTTTATTAAATTCAGAAATAATAACAGCAGGCCTAATAATGTTATAATGTACCAACATTATAAACACCATAGGCTATTTTAGTTCCCCTCACTTTACAAATCCTTTACATTTAGCTTATCGTAATCAGAACAGAACAAGAATGAAAAAAATATATAATTCTAATGAATAAATATAATTGCAGTATATAGGCTAATATAAGCTTAGCCAGTGCTTGAAGCGGAAAAAAAAAAAAATTTAATTAATTTATTTATTATTTATTAAATAAATTAATTAATAAGTACTTTTAAATTTTTTATAACTCACAATGTATGTGTAGTGCCACAATCAAACAATCAATAAATAAACGACCACCGCATAATCTAAAACACCTTCAGCCAGTGGTCCATTATAAAACACTTGCTTTTAAGCCAAATACACGCTGTGAAGAAGTTTGCATGATAGGACTAGGTGTTATGATCCCAATATTCAGCACCATTTAGCCACACCATAGAACATTTTCCCTTCACTGTGAGCAGAACACAGCGAGACGCAGCAATTGTTGTGCTCTGATTTTGAATCAGCAAGAATCCAGGATCATGGTCTAATCCATGTCCATGGTACTTGTCTCAATACCCAATAATCAGATAAGCACACTGAGCTGATTACCGCTCTGAAATTAGAGCTGATCTGTGCTGGTTGCTGAGGAAATACTCCGGCTGTTCCTCACTCTAGCCCCCGGCCTCCGCTCACTCTAGCCCTCCGGCCATTCCTCACTCTAGCCCCCAGCCTCTGCTCACTCTAGGCCGCCGCCGCTCACTCTAGCCCTCCGGCTGTTCCTCACTCTAGCCCCCGGCCTCTGCTCACTCTAGCCCTCCGGCCTCCGCTCACTCTAGCGGTCCGGCTGTTCCTCACTCTAGCCCCCGGCCTCTGCTCACTCTAGGCCGCCGCCGCTCACTCTAGGCCGCCGTGTGT